GCCCTAAGGATTTGTCAGACAAAGAATGAAAAATTAAAAATCAAGGTACAGGATCTGACTTTGATGGTAATTGTGTAACAGAGACGTCAATGAGTAGTCATTTACCTGTGAGCTGTAAGGCTGTTTTCTCACTATTATATGGGGGAGGGGGGGGGGGGAATCCAGCATAAATAGGGAATGATTCTGTGGAGTCCTATGAGTGGATGCATTAAAATGCCAAACAAGAACCCTGAAGCAACACCAGCGTTTCGTGAGCACTATACCCAAACACCAGCATGAGACACAATGTCCATGACACCCGTTGAGAATGCCCAACACTGGTACTTAGTTGAACCTAGCCCAACAGGACCAGCCGAAGGTTCCCTCACCACGTACAGGAATCCACCTTGAGGGGTACACCAGGTAATCACTGCTGCTATCTGCACAACCCAGTCAGTATTCTGATTACGGTTATCAGCAACAAAAGTATGACTTATGGTGAGATGATCTGCTTCCAACTCACAGAATGAGCTTTTGTTAAGACCACCTATTAATGACAGGTTCATGTCTGGAAAGTGAGAAACAAAAAATACACTCAATGGAACATTACTGAATGTGATAATTCTGGCAACGATTCAGTTATGATATAAGAAGGTATTAGTATGAGTGGATATAATTTTCTGTAATCACTTTTGAAGGGCACATTTACTGCTAAACAATACATTAACATTGAACTAACCACATTTTATTACCTATTGTGACTATAAGCAAACTAGAATTTGACCTAATGTAGGAAAATGTCATACTGCCAAGATTGTGACTGAACATCATAAACAAGCAACGACTGAAGTCATACACTGGTCAACAGGATGTTCCATCTAAATCCCATACAAACCATCTAGAAACTTTTTGAATTTTGTACATATCACTTTCCTAACCCACTTTATGAGATCAGTGGGCCTGATATTGCAATGAATGAATAACTGGGCAGAATCACTCATTAACAGAATCTTTCATCTTATCAATGGTGTGCTAACACATGTAAAGACTGTATTAACACCAAGGGAGGGGGGCCATATTCATTATTAAGTATGTCTTTTTTTTTTGCTAAATGTGATACTTTCAAAAACTTTATTCAGTCATATAGTAATTCAGAACTGTTAGAATGTTGAAAATCTGAAAAAGACACAAAGAGGTAGGTAGCAGATCATTCTGGCATATCTAAGTCCACAGTGTGAGATTTGTGGATACACTGCAAGTCACATGGTTTGTGCATTAGACAGTCAAGTAAATAGTTTGAGAATGAAAGCAATGCTTCATTTGAGCCAGAATCAGAAGACGAAGCACCATCACAAGGATGGCAGCAAAATGGTGGTCTCAAGCTGCTAATGATGCAGTTTTGATTCTGCAATTCCTATAATAGTGTTGCAAATAAAAAAAAAATTGTTGGTATTAAGTAACTCTTTGTTGTTTATGGGTTGTAACTAGTTAGTGAAACAACTTCATTAACTGTATTCAGCAAATAAATGATACTTCTAAAATGTCCTTTAATTTAGTCCAACATATACCAACTGTGGTGTATTTGCTCCTCACTACAAATCTATATTACTCAGCAAAGGTTGAGCCAGAGCAACTGTAACTCACAGTACCTTCTCTATTATCACGATCCTTTGTGAACACAAATCTATATTGTTCCAAACCCAAGTGTTTTGTATTATGAAAGTTTTGATTCCTTTTTGTACTTAGTTATATTACCTAGGGTGCAAATGCACTCTGTCTTGATATAAATCTAACACCAATTCTATTACATATCTTGCTTTATGGCTGAAAGTTAAGATACAGGTATGTAGCTCAGAGCTATTATCCAAAAGTTGGGACAAAA